TAAAAAAATACTGGTGCATTTTATTATTTAATAAAGATATGGTCCATGTATTTCAAATGTTCAACTTTTTAGAACCGTCAATAAAAGCAATGGATTCGGTTGGTTATTTTGTAAGAAACGTTCTACCAATTCATCAACGAAACTTAATATCGCATAATAGATATTGTGCAAATGAGTGTACTACCGCTGGAACTCTTGAATGCAGTATAGCTCGATTTCGGTGAGCTGTACTATCACATAGTTCAGTACCATTGTTTATTATATTAGTGCTAATTGTGATGTTTAAAAACATTCTTATTAATCCTCATACTTTATGAGTATATTAAAATGACTTGTTTTCTCGTAATAAAATAGCTGAGAAATTACATTGAATTACGTATTAAAATAAATAATAATTAATGTTCGATTTAGAGTTAGCATTTTTGCATAAACATCTATCAGACTTATTATTTTTGAAGTTATCATTTGGTTTAAAAAGGTGATGTTTTATTTATATAAATGTACGAGCGAAAAGTAAGATTTCTGAGATTAGGCGTAGTAAAATCTTGTGATCATAGGATCATAGGATCATGGTTTGATCAATATTATAGAATCTTCGATTGTTACATGCGCGGTTTAGAAGTCATAGGTAGAATGTTCAAGCGGAAGTGATACAAACGCGAATCAAACATTCGTTCCTTAAGAAGAAACAGTTGAATTTCCGAGTTTGGGCTGTAATTGATTAATTCATCAAAGCCCTTTCCGCTCGTACTGATGTAAAATTATGAGTTGTATCTTTAGCTTTGTAAATGGAACTAATTCACGGTTATCAATTAATAAATTAATAGAATTATTATATCACCTTAGTCATGCTTTGACAAGTTGTTTTATCCCTAATTAAACTTATTTCGTAATAACCTTTTTTTGTGGAGAAATCAAATTAATTCGGCTCGAATAATTCGAAATTAATTTTTTTTTATAGAACTACGTTTATTGAAATTTATATACTCAACCAATGTCTTTTGTCAATATTACGTAGTGCTGGTAACGATGAAATTTTCGGATTATGATGCACGTGAAAAAAAAACCAGATTTATTTATCTTTATATTGTTACTTTTTGATTAACCGAATCATTTCAGAATTTAAAATACATACATATTACTAACGTATCGGTTTTAACTTAGCTTGCATATATATACTGTATATTATATATATATATAAATATAATAAAACCGATTAACGTTAATGAATATATAATG